AATTAAATATCTGATATCTGCTATATGATTCTGATATGATTTGTTCTGTTCCGATATGATCTGTACGATTCTGATTCTGTTGATCTGATGTGTCTGATCTGTTATGTTTCTGATTTGATACAACTTCCTTTTCCGTACAGTTTTGTTGATTTGATATCTGTCTGAATCTGTTTCGATTCTGTACGGATTTGTCTGCTGTGTTGGTTTTGAGATTCTGAGGATTTTGATTGGAGGTTTGTTGCTTTACTGAGCTGTTGAGCTCACCCTTGCTTTCTGGTGGTTTTCAGGTTCTGGGAAAGGTAAGGAAGTCCAGGATTAGTTCAGAGTCTGATCAGTATAGGTACTTTTGTACTTTTGGTTTTTGTACAGTCATGGCTTTTCTGTTCTGTCTTTCTTTCTGTCGAAAGCCATGTACTGTTCTGTAGATGATTGTTTTGAGGAAATGAAATCGGATAGATGTTTTGTTCCGCTGCATTTGAAGATACATAGTAGCTCTGTGTTTGTTAGTCTGTGTGAATTAATTATTTGGAAGATTCAGTTCCGAACCAAATTCCAAAGCTAGATCCTGGTTAGTGCAGCTCCGTCGCGATCCAGCGCGGGCGGGATCCATCTCGTCTCGGGTCGGGTCGTGACATTACCATTGCTATGCAACCGTATTTTGCTTGTGCTTCTTGTGCTAAGTAGTTTCATGTAAATATGGTTTTAATTCTAGTTAATGGAGATTGTCTTCAAGATGAGGTGTCAATAAAACAATTTAAAAACTATTATTTTCATTTCATCATTTTGATTTCTTTCAAATAAAGCCAAGCCTAATAGAGAATTGGCTGTAAGTAAAGTCGATCAATCCTTATCATCAAAGGGATTGAGTTTACTAACAGCCAATTCCCTATTAGGCATGGCTTTATTTGAAAGAAATCAAAGGGATGAAATGAAAATAATAGTTTTAAAAATGTTTTATTGACACCTCATCGTCTTGAAGACAATCTCCATTAACTAGAATTAAAACCATATTTACATGAAACTACTTAGCACAAGAAGCACAAGCAAAATACTGTTATATAGCAATGATAATGTCTATTAATTTATTCATTTCAGCTTCATCACTTAACATATATATGATTTTAAACCTTCGTCAAGAACATAAACTAGCAGACTAATTGACTAATAACCACCATATATATAATTTTTATCCAATTTTCCAGCATAAATTTATATACATACATGCAAATACATACTATGCTGGGAGGCCTTTTTACCATAGCTCCAGGGAATACTACGTATTGAATTACATGGAGAAGTAATTTAAAATATTAACAAAGAATAAACATGTCAAATAAATGACTGTCACATAAATTCATGTTAAATATGCGCCATAAAAATAATGAGAAGTAACATAAAGTTTTGGAGGAAAATTAGGTCTATAATGAATTCATGAAAAATGGGTCAGTGGTGATGGTTAATGGCCGCAACTGATGGCAGCAATGGCGGCTAATAGTGGCGGGTGGCGGATGCTGGAGGTGGGCATCGTAAAAAACCAATGGTGAGTGGCGACGGTGGTGGCTGGCAGTGGCTCGATGTGGGCGGTGGTGATGGTGGCTAGTGGCCAGCCGAGATGGTCAGAGGTGGGCGGTCGCCAACTGTGGCAATTGGTAGCACTTAGGGGCTGGTGACAGTATTAGCAATAAATTTATGTATTTGTCCAAATCATAGGAATTCCAAATATATAAAAATTGAAGTAGATAGTGAATTTCAAATGCAATAAAATTTTAGTGTATTTGTTTTACTTCAAATTAAATATCAATAATCTCAAAACCCCTTCATTAGAATATTTTACATGCTTCAAACCAAAATTTTTTGTTTTTATAAGATTGCAGTGATCAATAAATTGGAGATGCTTGAAATATTATGAGGTTTTTGCTTGCCATAATTTGCCGATGCACCGTATAATACAGTCAATTTCAAATTTGGCTTTTTAAAAAAATGATAAAATATGAAATCGGTATCAAAATATAAAAATAATTTTTAAAATAATTATATGCACAAAAAATTTAATGAGATAAATTTGGTGATGATATATTGATGAAAATATGGTCAAAAGAAATTTTAAATCTCTTCAATCTATTTTATAATGGGAGTAAAAAAAAAGATTAAGTAATTATTCCTGAATTAAAACACATTTATCTTAAAATAAATTTAAAATTTCTAAGTTTTATCATGATTTTGCAAATATATTTCTAAGATTTGTAGTAATTTTAATCATGAAAGGCCTAATCTTTATTTGATTGATTTCATACTAAGACAAACCTACTTATATAAAGGTAAGAAAAAAATAATTAAGGAAATATAATAAATAGAATATTCTGAATAATGAAAAAAATATTACATTAATTAATACTATGTATTCTAACTATTAATATATGCGATGTTATCTTTCTACCTTGAGGGTCAAATTAACTGCATCTTGAAAGGTCCAATATGGCTGTATTTGGACTATATTTGTGATGGAAGGTTGCAGTCCTCCCAAGAATCTAGCAATGATCTTTTTTTTTTATGGTTCCATAAAATCAAATTTAAGTGATAGTTGTTAAAATTCAGCTAGGTATTCTTCCACCGTGAGTTGGTTTTGCTATAACCTTTGGAATTTCAAGAAAATATCTTGTCGATATTGGTTGGTTAAATATTTTCAGTGTAATTCCTTCTTCTTTATTTTTGTTCATTCTGTGATCTTGCTCCTTCCTTCCCGATTCCGCGTTCTTTTTAAATTTTCCCGCTAAAATTATGCATTGTTGTTCAGTTTAATGGCAACAAGCTTGACGATGCGACTGGGCTAAACTTCTCTGAATTCAAGAATTCTTTCAATCGTATGAGACCAGTTAACGAATTCATTGGGATCCAGACGACCATCAAAATCTAATAGCTCTACCTTGATGCTGCGCTCATTTGATTGACCTTGATACATCCGACTGCGAGGATGCCTCTTTACTTCCCCGTCACTCAAAGGCTCTTGATGAAATGGATTGATGTCTATCCTAAGTAACAAGTCCGACTAGGTGTTTTCTTCAATCACCACCTGAATGCTAAATTCAGGATAAAGAAACAAAATCGAATGGAGAAAATATCTTTCTAAATCTTATTCCTTCTCCTTTTTTTTACACCCATATTTATAGGTATACATAGTGATAAGTATAGCCTAATAAAATGAAAGCAAACAGAGTAAAATGAAAACCGTTACAACTTTGCTTTCATTTCACTCTGTGTTTTGCATTCTATTATAGTCATATTTGGTGATGTTAGTTTGTTTTATTATGATTTTCTCTAGTGTTATCTTTATGAGGCTGTACTTATCACTATGTACATCGTTAGAATTATTTTAATACATTTCAATCTAATGATTACAAATAACTCTCTAGAGTATTGTCATATATCATAAATGACATTAAATACATATTCAAGATTTTTGTAATAATTACTCTACAATAGTTTTCTAAAGTCTTCTTCAATATGTTTAAATTCAGTTTCAACTTAATGTAAATTTATGATTTAAGTTATAAGATTCCAATTTCATTTGTTTTTAATATTTAACTGCTTTAGTTAAATTTTGTTTAATCACTTGTTTGAATTAATTAATTAATTTAATTTAAAATTTAATAATATGAATTCCGAAGCTTTGATTTAAGTTTTGACTTTAAAGCTTAGAATTATTGGGTCAAATAAACTTTATTTTAAATTCGGATTTCATTAAGTTATTAGTTATTAAATAAGTTAATTACCAAATTAATTTAAAGATTCATATTGAGATTAGTTAATTCATTTTAGTTTATTTTGAAATCATTACCCAATTATTTAACATAATTAGTTCTAAATTAGATTCGTGCTTTCCAAAAATCATTTCGATTCAAATTTTTTTTTTTTTTTGTAAATTTCGGCAGTTTTCCGGTGTTCCCTCTCGCAACGGGAAGACACTTGCCCTTTTAGCTCGACTATGCCGGTTCAAATCAACAACAAGAAGTATGGGAGAGCGAATCAATGCCAAAAACGACCTTCAATTCTTGAATCCACTCGGCCGAATTAGCTGAATGGCCGAGAGCTTCGGGGGACTATATCAATCTCAAGACTTCCTTCAATCTTCACTTTGTTTGATTGCAAATATTTTCCTTTCCTTCTTATAATAATAATTATCACTATAGTTATAATTAATAATATTAATTATAATTATTTTTGTTTACTGATTATTTATTTAGGGGCTGTTTGGTTGCCTGAATTAGGAGGGTAAAGTAAAGTAATTACATGTATTTACTAAATTTGCTTATTTGATTAATTTTGAGCGGAAGGAACTGAATACCTCCGAAGCATTAGCGCGGCATTAGAAGAGGCAATTCACGCGACTTTTAAACCCGCTCAATTAAATTGAGCGGGTTCCAAATTCTTTGAGGTCTGTTGCGGCATGATGTCGCCGAAGCTTACCTATATTCTCCCTTTTTCTCCGTTTTTCCTTGCTCTCTTCTTCGGTCCTTGCTCTCTTCTCCAGTCCTGCGATGGCACTGACGTTCCCGCAGCGTAGCTGCTTGGTTTGCTTCGCCTGGTTCTGCAAAACCGTCCTGATTCGCCACGCAATATGTTGGGACAGTTGTCGTAGCCGGCAATTTCTTCGAGACGGCGGCGGAGGATCCAGCTGCAATTTTAGGGTTCGGCGTCGGGTAACGCCCGAATCTCGGCGAGCTCCCCTGTTCAGTACTCATACTAGCCCACTACATCCACTATGTAGCAGATAAGAAGTATCGCTGGAGATAGTTTCTGATCCTCTATTATCCTCGACGCTGGCGATCAACGCCACCGTCGATGAAACGGATCCCTGCTCGCCAAACACAACCGCACTATCTCCAAATCAACCTCCCAGCTCGCCCTCGTCGGCTTACATGTCTGCCCCATCGAAAGCCTCGACTTTGAGTACTCTTCCCTCTCCGCCTGCCACCTACTTCGTCCTATCCACCTATCCCGGGTCGTCTCCTTCTATCTTTTATAGTGCGCTACTGCCACTGTCATCATCTAAAAAGCTTCTTGAGTTATATTGGCTATGGCGCATCTTCCTCGCATTTTCTTCTCAGTGGGTGATTAGCAGTGCACGAGATCTTCGATTTGGGCTACGATCAGTTCCTCTGGTTGAAGATCTATACATCTACCATGGAAAGATTATCAGTCTTGGCTATCATATGCTGTTTTCTTCTGATCGTGGGCGTCGTACGGTGCAAGACCGTGAAGAGAGACGGTACAGATCTACTCGAAATCCCAGTCTCATTATCTAATTTTTTCTGCAATTTGATATGGGATCTCGGCCAGTTGAATATTTAGGATATGAAATGTCTTTTCCGGTTAAGGCGTGTTTGGGATTTTAGCTCCAGAGGTGGATGTGGTGGGTTATTGTCTTCTGTGATTCTGGCTGGTTTTGTTGGGTTTGGTATTGGTTATTTGCGTTATTGCTATTTCGTTGGAATACTGGCTGAAGCTAATTAGTTATAGATTCTTATTGCTATTTTCATTTATGTTATGATGCGGTGGAATTTGGGACTTTGAAATCATGACCCATCAAGAATGATGTGACCCAAGTTCAAGGGTTATTGAAATCCCTGTTCTAACCCATCGTCCACAAACAAAAGAATTGGATTTGATGACAATGATTAAGACGGGATTCAGATAGATTGTGCATGAGTATTCGACAAAATTTTGCCTATAAATACCATTTTATAAGATAGTAATGTAATGGAGAATACTTACAGAATTTCTCTCTTCCTCTTCTCTGTCATTACGCAAATTCTCCTCTATTTTTTTTACTTCTAAGCATGCAACGGTCTTGTTTAAGAAGCAGGTATGTTTTTTTAATTTCACTTTATGAGTTTGAAGGTCTCCGATTTTATTCTAATTTTTATGGTGATGTGGCTTTTCAGGTGGCCTGGAACTTGTTAGCAGCCATTTCTGCCTTTTCATTGGGGGAATTCAATTAACAATTATAATGATATGAAAATGCCTCTTAATTTTTCTTATTTCATTAATCTCATTTGTTATATGGGCCAACTAAATCGTGGTTTCTTGGACTTTTTCTTCATGGTCATCTGCATTCCTTTTTGTAGCAGTTTTTTTCTGATTTGGAGACTTGAAAACATTTACTTGTATCACACTCGTGCTGATGTCTGATGATCACATAATTTCTTCTAAGGCATGCTTGTGAGCAGTCTGTAATATTTTATTCTTCATCATAAACCCAATGTAATTATTGAAAGTTTTCCTGTGACCCGAAGTCGCTGTAATATGGTTGTTCATTATACCTTTGAAAATTTGGAGATTGAATTTGTACGAAAATGTTTATGGGATTGCTGATGGAAATTCTGTCAATAGGCTGATCTCTTAAATGAAATTGTGTTAGGAAATAGGATGGCCTGATCATATGCAAGTTATAAAGTTAATTTTCTCCTTTTTTTTTAGTAAAAACATTTCTTGAAAAATAAAAAAATTTAAAATTTTAAAGAATTTAAAATTAAAATTTATCTCTATCACAATTATATCTTATAATCTAAAAAAAATTATAATAAGATCATGCAATAAATGAATACTCTGATTTTATTTTATAACACCAATTAATACTAATTATTATAAATATAATGTTTTTATAAATATATTTATTTTAATGACAAAATAAATTATTAAAAAAATACTTTTATTTTACTTTGGATATACCTAACCAAACAAAGGAAACAATTCTCCTGCGTTTATTTTACAGACAACCAAACAGGCTCAAAGTATTTAAAATACATTACATTTACTTTACATTATATTTACTTTACACTGCATTTCTTTTTCAGGCAACCAATCAGCCCCTTAAACGCGAACTTTTATTTGGTCCGGTGAACGTACGCTCCTCTACGTTCGGCCACCAATATTTTAGTGCCACGTAGCATGAAGAAAAAGTCACCGACCCGACCCGCTGTTTTTGGGTTCTCGCCCATGCGTTTTTTTAAATCCTTGACGAGCCGAACAACATCTCATTACATTTTGGATATATTTCAAATACCTAGCAAATACCGAGTTGTACCTAATTTTTTCTATCAATACCGAGCAAATACCTAGCAATACCGAGCAAATCTTGAGCAAATACTGAGTTGTACCGAGTTTTTTCTAGCAATATCGAGCAAATCCCTAGCAATACCGAGCAAATTCTGAGCAAATACTGAGTTGAACCGAGTTGTACCTAGTTTTTTCTAGCAATACCGAGCAAATACCTAGCAATACCGAGCAAATCCCTAGCAATACCGAGCAAATCCTGAGCAAATACTGAGTTGTACCGAGTTTTTTCTAACAATACCGAGCAAATACCTAGCAATACCGAGCAAATCCCTAGCAATACCGAGCAAATCCTGAGCAAATACCGAGTTGTACCGAGTTTTTTCTAGCAATACCGAGAAAATACCTAGCAATACCGAGCAAATCCCTAGCAATACCGAGCAAATCCTGAGCAAATACCGAGTTGTACCGAGTTGTAGAAAAACTCGGTACAACTCGGTATTTGTATAATTTTGGTCTTCACAGAACGGTATTTCTCTTTTTTTCAAAGCAATACCGAGCAATACCGAGACAATCGCGAACATAGCATTCCCGGGTTCCGCACCGGGTCAAGTCGTCGGACCGCGCGATAAAGAGTAAGAGCACGTGGCGACATGTTATTGACGGCCGAACGTACCTCTACGTCAGGTCAGAGGACGTAATAATTCTTCCTTAAACTCATAATCAGTAGTCCCTCCATTCTCTGTTATTTTAAAAGAAAAGATGCAGAAAAAAATAAGGCAAGAGGCGGACGGTGCAGTAGGAATCGGAGCAGGTCCGTCGGGTCCGCTTGAGTGAAATTGCAGGCGGAGGATCTTCCGTGCGGCTCTCGGCAGGTCCAGATGGAGAAAAGGGCCCTGTAAGGCTTTGAGATTGGGCTCTGTGGTGTTCGGAAGCAGTCGGCAGAGCAGGCACTTTCGGCTCCTGGCTTGCTCGGCCTGAGTTCGTATGAAGGAGGCCGGACGGAGGCAAGCCGACGTTAGATCGGGCACGATAGGGACGGAAGGTTCACTCGAGACCCGGCTTTGCTCGCAGGTGTGGAAGGCGTAGCAGAGGAAATCGCAACTCTTGCGATTTTGCTTCGACTCGGGAGCCGAGAGGAAATTCTTAGCAACCGAAACACCTTAAAACCTCAACAGCTGTAAGCGTAAAATCCTCTGATTTTCTTTTCTGTTGTTTATACGAGCCATTCTTCCATCCACGATGTAATGAGCAATCAACTGAACATTGAAGGAGATCATTTGCTTATTTGATCAACCTTTGATTCTTTAGTTCTTTTGCTCCAAAATTATAAAAAGCACGCCTTGCAATCAATATGAACTTTGCCTTTCCATAGCTAACCGCTATATTATTTGAATTTAATCCCAATTGTTGCCAAGCAGCCCCATAAAATCCGTTCCTATTGCTTAGCGGAGGTTATCTTTTCCATCATCATGTTCTATAAAAATGACGATAAGCAAACACAATTATTCTTGACTTAATAAATTTAATGTTAAATGTTATTATAAAAGTTTTTCAAATTTAAATTTAAATTATTAGATTAAAGTAATAATTATATTTAAATTTATTTTAAAAATTATTATTACATTATTAATATTAAAATTCTCTTCGCCTAAACATTTTTGATGTAATAAATTTAAACAATTTAAAGTTTATAAAAAATCTAAACTCAGAATCGGCATTCCAACAATAATAAGAACATAAAACATATTTTTTTCCTTAAAATTTATTAAGTATGATAATAGCAGATATGTACAGATCCATAAAATTTAATAAGTACAATGATCCATAAAACTTAATAAATACAACTACAACAGAGAAAAATGTACAAATCAACATTCAGACAGACAGGAACATACAGATCCATAAAACTTAATAAGTATGAAGATAACATACATAAATCACATTCAAAATTTACTTAACTAGCACAATTAAGAAAGTTCTAAGAAAAAAAAAAAAGTCGGGAAAAATGAGATGCTTCTTAACATCCCCTAACGAACCTGTGGTGCTTTTCCGATATAATGCATTGGTTGTGGCGTTCTCTAATAATTGGGAGAAGATCGTGAGAAACAAGTCTACGAAAAATTAATCTATGCTTCAACAATTGCAAATGCAAGTGGGCATAGGCCACAATTCCCATCCAACCCAATAGCAACTAGAAGAGTACCGCGATACTTCCCCAGCGAGAAAGTACCATCCAAGCTAAGAGTAGGCTGACAATATGGCCATCCAAAAATAGATGTATCGAAGGCCCAAAAAATGCTCTTGAACCGGGAGTTACTGACTAGCTCTATGTTGTATACAGTACTTGGGTTAGAAATACGAGTTGCCTCGATAAAGCGATAAAGTGAGCGATATGATTCTTCATACGTTCCGAATATAGCTTGTATTGCCTCATGAGCATGAATGTTTAATCCAAGGCTACTACTAGTTGATGAATCACTACTTCCACTGTCCATTGTTTGGTACTCGTTCATATCATCTGCATTTCCTTCCCTAGGTTCAATAATATGTGGTTGTTGTAGTGAAGCCAGTTGAACATACGGCCTAAAAGATTGATAATCTTCATTGTATTCAGTAGCAAAATTCGGTCACCTCGCTGCTCCCTAACACTAGCTCGTGGCTAAGCAACTTGTTGCAAATAACTTGGGCACTAACATAGGCTTAGGCGTCCACGAAAGTCAGTAGCCATTGTTGTTGAAAATTCTACACTATAACAGTCTGTAACGACCTTTTTTCAGAATTAAGCTATGAATTTAAACCAGCATTCTAAGTCTTATCTTCATCATCTTTTCCTTCTCCAAACAAGTTTTTATCTTCATGGATTTTCCTTTGTTTTTATTTCACAGCAGTTAATGAAATATTTTTGAGCTAAAATCCTAAAAAATATGATGTTTCTGCGATATTTTATTTAAGAAAAAGCGCTAATACTCAGCCCTAAAATTTAAAGAAAGATTTGTTCTGGATCAAGTTGGTTGGTCTGAGAAGAAAAAAAATAAAATAAGAAATAGAAAAAAATATCCACTTGTACACTACAAGTATCACAATTTTATTGGAGTCCAGACTTAGCACATAATAATTTCTTTTAAAAAAGAGGTGCAATTGCGAATTTATTCAATTGTAAGTCTAGGTGATTGATTTTAAATTTTTTATGAAGAATGAATAAAAAGAATTGAAGTTAGGTCTTCATAATAAAATAATAATTAAGTTTATACTTAATAAAAAAAATTAGATATATAAATAAGGGCCAATCAGTTAATATATCTATACAAATATATTTTCTTAAATATCTGATGTGAGATTAAGATTTTGCATGGGATAGCTTTCTTATTATTTTTTAAAGTAATTTTTTATTTAAAAAATTTTAGTTCAAAAAGTTTTAGTAATTAAAAATTATTTTAAAAAACAGTAAGAAAGCAATCCCAAACAAAACCTCACATATCTTAATAATATCTCCGGTTAGTGTAATTCACTTCAATTATCAACTCCCCTCAAACATAAAAATATTAAATTATCATGAATTAGTCCCTTTTGAATAATATCCCACTTAATTCAATTAAAATCTCATACTTATTAAAAATATCCCACTTAATTTACTTGTTTGAATTAAAAATTAACATAGCAACTGGTTGGAAATGCTCAACTAATAATCTCTTCATCAATATTTTAGTTTAAAAATAAATTTATTTTTTCTCACAGATCTCCACTTTCGATAAAAAGAAACAGAAGTTGTTTAACACCAATAATTATCATTCATCAATAGATCTCATAATTCGTTTCAAAATCCAGATGCCTATTCATCAGAAGTTGTTCTTTGAAGCTCTCTTTGATCTTTTTTTCCTCTCTAAAGATGAAGAGTTTTGAGCATGTCTAATATCATTGTAGCTTCTGGCTCCAAATGATTCAGTTATCTATGTAGAAGTATACCTCTACATAAATGCTTTCACTAAGATTTTGTTTGGGACGGCTTTCTTATTGCTTCTTAAAATAGCTTTTTAATATTTTGTATTAGATAATTGCTTTAAGAAATAGTAAGAAAGTCATCATAAACGAAGCCTAAACAAGATGGTTACTGAAGAAGCCTCGGCTCTCAAGGATTCAATGGTTTGTTTTTTTATCAAAACAAATGTTGGTAGAGATGTTATTGTTGAGGGAGTGGATTCTAAGTTGTTTTGTACGAGAAATTATTCTGTGCAGATACCGGATCATCCGGAGGCAAATCAGAGCGAGCCATGTCACATGGTACATAACAGATACACAGCTGCAGTACACAACAAATGGGGTGACGTGACGTT